CAGAGGCAATAGCTGTAGAGCGAATTGATGAGACAATGTAGACGGTATCGACGACTGAATTCTGGTGTCTGGCTGGACTTGGTGACCTGCTGACTGACTGAGAGACGTACGAGGCAATCCGTCTGGCTTGTAGCCAAAGGGATGAAGTTGGAGTTGGAGTTGGAGTCGGAGTCGGACCATGTATGGCCATCTTTTTGTCCCCAGCACGGGCCTGTGATTGGCGACCAAGGCAGGGTTGTCCTCGGTGTCTGTTTCTATGTCCAGAGAATAGGCAATCCACCATCTTGTGGCGAGGTGTGTCTCTCGGAGACGGGAAGAGAGAACGCGTGTTGTCGGCCCGACGGCATTTGGGCTGAAGTGGTGTTGGACTGAGGCAAGACGGCTGAGATGTGTCTGCCATTTGAGATCAAAGTCAATAAAAGCCTCATGCCTTGGTGATTGCGAGTCGTGCAAACTGAAATTGCCAGTCGCGATGGCAGACCTTTGCTCATCCTCGAGATTTCCAGGATGGCAGGTCTCGGCTGCGCCCAGTTTGGACGGAAAATGTACCAATCAGTCCTCATGTTTAGGCCTCATGTTCACTTTTAATGTATGTGACGCGGAGCCGAGTCCCGAGGTCTCGTTTGTCGGTGCATTCTCCTACTCTCGCAGACATAGGGTCTCACAAACGTCAATGATACAGCAAATACTGATTTCGCCCTTGCTCATATGCGTGTCGAGACTACGTTGTACCCCTTCAACCGGGGTTCGAGTCCCGCTGGCGGTCCGGATGGGACCAGTTTAGGTGAGATTGAAACTGCAGTCCAGTCAGGACCAGTCTAGATAGATAGACATTTTGGGAGCTCTGGCCATGTGGAATCCAATGGAAACTCAATTGATTGAGGGAAAATCCAGCTACCAGTCCTTCGTCACCTTAAACGAAACAAGATGCACGCAACTCATGTGTGTATGTATGCGTGTATGTGTCTGTGCATGAGATGCATTCACCCTATTACGTTTAGAGTGAATTAGAGTTAGTTGAATTTTCCTACAGTCAGATGAGCATACCTAACGGTTCTATTAACTTTCATATGGCTTTGCTTCTCAAAATGTATTTTCATACAGAGTGACCTGGGTTCGAGTCCCGCTGGGGCTGCTGATGCAGCCAGTTCAGACGAGGTCGAAACTTCGGCCCAATTAATCCTGGACAAGAATGCCTTTCGAAGAGCAATGTTATGTGAAATTGGGTGGAAACATGAGACCTGCTCGTATGATTGTAGGAAAATATCGGGTGACTACGGCCCTTATGTGCAATCCGCTTGAATGGAGTCAGACTCGGATAGGTCGCATGTCTGGGATGAATTGGGGTTATTTTGGGTCCAGCAGCCGCATTCGGAGTAAAGTGAAGAAAGTGGGTAGATTAGTTCTGTCAAAAACCCAATTGGGTAAGCAAGGCTATGTGAAATTCATCAGATTGTGGGAAAATGCAACTACCAATCCTTCATTACTATCATCCAAATAGGCTGAATATATCTCATATATCTTATTGAATGGAACTCGACGAAAAACCCATTTCGCATGTGTCCTCTTCTCCTCCTTCACACTTTCATCTTGACCCCAACACGTGGTCACCTTGAAGAGCCATTGTTGCATTCGCATCTTCTCCATC